TTAACAAAGGTTCTTGACTGAGCACAACAAAATGAACATGGACTAACAATATAAATCAGATGGTAGTAATGAACTAGGCATTCACAGCTGGAGGTTAAAAGTAATTAGCTAATAGCAAAAGTGGCTTTGAAGCAAGCATGTTCACTGTTTGGCTCAGCTGTGTGATACCAGCTCTGGGGTTTTAATCGCACATTCAGACAGAGATATTTGCAGGCTGTACCACTGGTTGCAATGCCGATTAGTTGTGTACTTGAATTTTCTTTGATTGAAGAATGGGAGAATCTGCAAAGAAAACTGTTAAGCATGGGTATCTTTTGGTGACTTGAGGGTTCATATTTTCTGCTATGTATTAGTGAAAATATCTGCTTTGGGCATTGAACAGAGTAGATTTTCAAGAACCATTTTCTGTACAAACATATAGAAGAGGCACTAAGAGAAAGTGAAAAAAATGTCCATATGGAGTAAAGCCAGTCCCACACTACCACATAACAAGACTTCCATGTCGTTAGAGCTATTCACTCTTTCCAGTTGCTGAAATTCATTGCAATAGCCATTCATTCCTTCAATGCCACGTCCTTACTGTATAATGTGTTTTATACTAAAGATACAAATGTGAATGGTGTAGTTTTAAAGGAGGTATTATGTATAAATGATAATATAGAAGTATTATAATAGAATTAAGTGTAGAACTCTGTGGTGATCCAGAACATGAAATTACAAAATAAGTCAGATGAAGAAGGCATGGAAAAAATACAGTTTTGTTTCTAATTTGACAATTTGATGTCTATCACGGTGATATGTTTGTGCTAAATAGTCAAACACCCTGCCAAGAAAGAATGCCATTTAGTCACAAAAATCTTCAGAGAGCATGACATTTTAGGAAACAAAGCATCAGAAATAAATGTTTGGAGAGTGCTGAAAATTTTGGCACATTTACAACACACACACACACGCACACACAGCAGATGCTATTGGACAGAGTTGAACTGGAGGAGTTTATTAGATCGCTGGGGCTTTCAAGCTTGTGGATGCATGTTTATGTATTAGACAACCTTTTCTGAGTCTAATAGAATCGGAAATGTCCCGAGTTCCCTGCAGAATCATTTTCTTCCTAATATGGCTTCTATGTTGTTCAATACTTAGTTGCATACAAGTGGAACAAATTTTTTTTCTTTTTATGAAAAGAGGCTCTTCACAGTTTCTTCAAACCACATAGAAGCATTCATTTTTGCTACAAGGATGCTTTGGTCCTCTTTCATTCCCAGTGTGATTTAAGGAGAAAGTTAATAATAAAATGAAAATTTGCTAGAATGTATTCAGCACCATAATCTGGGGCATTCCACACAGAGAGAAAATGTTTGTTTTCCTCTGCTTCTACTGTTTATTGAAAAACTGCAGTGTATACATTTTTGGATATTTCTTCCCCTCCCTTATTTTATTATTATTTTTTTTGAGATAAGATCTCCCTGTAGACCAAATTGACCTGGATTTCAGTATGTACAGTAGGCTAGCCTTGATCTCACAGAGATCAACTGGCCTCTGCATCCATCATGTCCTGCCACTTTGGGATATTTCTGTTTCCCTGTTTGCATAGCTGTATAGAAAGTAGATTATAGAACATATTTCATTTAGGTACTTCTAGAGATTTGTTTCAGTCTCTGTAGGAGTTGGGAAAAGACTCCTCTCCCAGTTCCATCCTGATTCTGCTGATTTCCATTTTCTGTTCCCCTATCTGCATTTCTACTTGAGTCAGTACTTAGTCAGTACTATAATGTACTTTGCACCAGGACTGAAAAAGCTGCCTTTAGTAACAAGCTAATAAATTAAGATACAAATATACAAAATATGGAAAGATAAAAAGAAAAAGCACAGAATTATCCTATCTAGGGATATATAAATGTTGATGAACAGAACCATTCATTCAAATGGGTATTTCTATGTGGTACATTCCCACCCACTTCCCAATGATAAGGAAAATGAGCTTGGGAAGTCATGGGCTATGACTAATGTATACTAGTTTATATACTATTCTGCCTTCTGGAAAAGAAAAAAAAAAACATAACCTGTATTAAGATCATCACCAAGTGGTGTACTAACCATTTCAAGTTAATGTCTTCTGGATGGAACCTACCTTAACTTTTTTCAAAACAACTAGTGGTACAGGTTGACCAAACAATTATGTTATAATCCTAACCCCCTAAAAACAAAACATGCAACTTTATTTTGAATAGGGTCAAGGAAGATATAAGTAAGGATGAAACCATATTGGCATATAGTGGATAATGAATCCAATATCATGTATGTGCTTGTAAGAAAAGGAACAGGAAATTCAGGGAGATGTGAACACTGGGGCAGAGACTAAGGACAGTAGTAATGCATTTATAAGTCCAGAAACACCTGGGGTGAGGGAAGCTGGCATAGGAAAAGAATTTTAGCTGGAGGCTTCAGACTGATCTTTCACCTGTCACTGCCTGGATCTTTAGAGTTCTCATTTCAGAACTGTAGAAAAAATATTGTTTAAAATAGCTAGGTTTTAATACTTTTTGTAGTAGTCCTAGAAAACTAGTATTACTGGTACCTTCATCTTTGCCTTTTTGTTTTACCCCATTTCCTCTCTCAGTCAGTCCCTCCCTTCTTCCTTTTTATTTTTGTCAACATCTGCTTATGTTGTTCATAAACACAGGAGCAAAACATGAGAAAGCAAGGAAACAGACAAATGGAGTCTTCCTTCTACAGTAAAATACTGAAAAATATGCTCCAAGTCATATGGCCTCTGTGGACTGCAAGTATTTTCACAAGACTTCAAAACAATTATACAGAGTTATAAATTTCAGGTCCTGTAAAACATGATATCTCGTGTGGATTACTAAAATGTAAACCAGATTGTTAAAATGCTTTTTCTAATTTGAAACAGAGAAGTGATTTTAAACCATTATGATTCAGTCCCATTTTGTCAGTATTTTCTACACTGGATTACACCAAAATAACATCACTGTTTTAACTGTTTTTAACAATGTTTTCAATAAAAGTTTACTTCCACAGCTAAGAATAACCTAAAGGAATTCTATTAAGGAGAATAAAATGAGCATTGGTTATTACTATTGTATAAAATAGACATTGGTTGTTACTACTACTATCGGTATACATACAAAACAATGATTGGGACTATAAAGACTGCATGGCTATTCTAACTTAGATAGCCTAACAACAAAGAGAGAAAAATAAATGCATTTCTCTTTTTAAGTACTTAGTAGTTTATTATAATAGCTCACCTTTCTGCTAAGGAAAGATGAGAATGAAGTCATAGATATAACACTGGACAGAGAAACTGGTATTTGTTAAACTTTGTAGTAATCTATGTATTACATGTTCTCATTCAGTCCTGTAGATATTGACATTTGTAATAATCAGCTTTTGGCAAATATCTGTGATTCTCAATTTATAAGAGAAAAAGTTTATTTTGGCTCAGAGTTTTGAAGGATTTGCTCCAGGGTTTTTTGCTGTCATTGTTTTTGTGTTTATGGTGACACAGCACATTTTGGAGGAAGTGAATGGTAGAGGAAAACTATTATGCTAATGACCAGAATGTAAAAGAACCTCTTTAGGCAAGGGGTCCACTACCTACTTTTAGGGTAGGCATGTACCTTCTAAAGCCTACACAACTTCCCAACAGCACCATAGGCTGACTAGGAAGCAGTGAACACAGGGTCTTTGAGAGAAAATTCCAGACTCAAACCACAGCTTTATTATTGCCCTATGACAGAGTAAGTTAGTGAGACCGTGGCTGTGATTCTGTAATGAGGGCACAATCACAATGCAAGGCACAGAACCAGGATGTGGAGCTGAGAGCGACGTGCACTTATTACCATGCCATGTGTTCTCACAATGCATGAAGAGGAGCAATCTCTCTTCAAGCACATCAGCATAAATTCTGCCCTAACTGTGTGGAGAGATGAATTCAGTCCAGAGGGTACTAATGACTCTTTGGAATCTGTAGAAGAGACATCAATAGTGGGGCAGGTGCTGTAAATGATTCAACAGTTGGAAAATGTAACTGCCGGTGTGCTCAGGCACAGCTGAAGAGACAGACAACTCTATTTTCTCCTCATTGCACAGAGTTTTGTTTTCACCTCTAATCTGTGAGGACAGGCCTCATATTCAGAACATGTCACCACTGTCGTAGGAAAGCAGCAAGCGTTTCCTTTCCTGTTCCATACTTTCACATTCTATATAAAGCTATGCTCACATAGCACTGAAATAGACATTTATGTTGTACAAAAATACCACTGCAACACGGCAAAAAATGCCACGACTTGAAATAGATTATCTTCTAAGATTAATGTTGCCTAAAGAACAGATCCCCAACACCATCACATTCATTCTGAAAAGTTGGAGTCCCAGAAAAACTGCCCTGAAATTCAGTCCTCTGTGAACACTGAAGTGCTCTTACTCAGATTTTCTGCTTGAGGAGAGATGTTGACCATGCAATTTCAAAGCAAACGACTTCCCAGTTATACGAACTCATGGCATTTACTTAAACTCTTTGAATTTCAACTATGCATCTGTAATAGGCATAATTCTTCTGTGTCAGATTCTGAAGGAATGAAGTGGCAGTATAGACTTAAATCTCAAAAAGGCCTTCATACATACTGGCTATCGTCAGTATTCATTTTACATAAATTCAAGTTCTCTCATATATGGGCTCTGTACTAGAATCTGGGAAACAAAGATCACTAATGCATCTCCAAGCCATGTTGACCTAAACTTCCTGCAACAAGGATGAAAAGATAACACCCACATAGACTCTAGTAACTCTGAAAAGTATGCCACTATTTTGTAAGCTCAGGCTGAGAACTGACTGGTGAGAAGAGTCAGATGTGAAGGCTCTTCATAGGGTAGAGAAAGATCAGACATGGTTTTCCAGATAAGACAGTAGCTGCAGAAAATCTGCTGGACCTTAAGACCATGTGTGTATTTTTCAAGGAAAGGGGAGGAGAGACAGCATTTCTGTTTCTGTTTAACTTGTGGACAAAGACATATAGACAGGTGCAAAATGAAATCCTCTTTTGCAAATCAGAGGTACTGATCATACTCATTGATCAGTATGAGCTACACATAAAAAAGAATATGAATGAGCAGTGTGAAGAAGACACAAGAAGGATGAGAAGGATTCCAGAGAGACAAAAGCCATCAGCTGCTGCATCCTTGTGTTCCGCACCAAGGTCCTGAGGACATTGTCCGTACATCCTAAAGAAAGGCTGAAAGGGATGCTAAAGGAAATAAAGTCATGGTGAGTGATGAGCCACAGAGATCTGCAAGAATGTTTACTAAAATGTGTCTTCCTAGTCCAGAGCCTTAGCTTAGAGAAGCCCTATAAGACCAAAGATTGGAACAGCCCCCCATACAAGAGAGATGACATAACAGATAAGGCAGAGAAAGGTAACAGTGCGAGTAACATCAAAGTGTGTGCATTTTTGATAACTACATATCTCATGCAAAAGAAATATAACTAACACATCATTTAAATCATATCTTAGCATTGAATTAAGAAAAAACACACTCTACATTCTGAGCCTCTTATGTGATAAAGTCAATATTGATTCTGAAGTGTTTTAGAAAAAAGTAATATAACAATTTTCCCTATAATTCACATTTGAAGTTTTAGTTTTGGAAATTTTATGAAAAACCATTTGCTCTTTCATTCAATTAAGACTCACAATTACTGTTTTTATTAGCTGGTAAAATAACATCTAGAATGCTCAGTTTTTAGAAAGACAAAAAAGTAAATAAACTCAGCAGTAAAGAAAGATGAAATCATGAAATTTGCAGGGAAATGGATGGAACTAGAAACTGTTATACTAAGTGAAGTAACACAGACTCAGGAAAAAAAATGACGTAT